AAGAATGATAACTAAATTTACCAACCTTTGAAATAACCTTAAAAATATTGACGTTTTAAATTTTAAAACCGGCATTATTGAAGACTTAAAATTAATCTTTGTCTCGATTTTAGCTGTGTGAATCTCTATACCAACACAAGTGTTATCCAAATTACTTTGCCTACAGTCTTCTAGTTTGACTAAAGAGCAATTTATATAATCCAAACTACTTAATTAATCTAGTAGCCTTCCTAGTTTGACAAATAATCCAGCATAAAAAAGGATAATTAAAGTTATATGATAATGTCGTCAGTTATAATACTGAGAATTGAGAGAATGAATCAACTTTATACCAATAATGCTTGGTTTTTTTTTATTTCCTTCATTCTAAATTATTCGTCGTATATATTTGTGTAAGATGTTTCAAATTAATTTACAACATTTATAATTAATGGTAATTTTTTTAAAAAGCTCTAATTCATGTTTACTCCAAGGTAGATTCCTTCCTCATATTCTCTCTCTACTTTTTATTTTTTAATAGTTATATTCAAATATTTTGTGACGCTTAAGATGAGACGAAGTATGATTTTGTAGTAAGAAATTGTCACACAAAAATACAAAATCCAAATAGTAATGTCAAATGATGACATAATGATTGCATTTTAATCAATAAAATAAAATAAACAATGGGTTTATCAAATAATTACGGTGTTGTTTATCATGTTATAGAAGTGAAATGCAAATGAATTGGCAAATTGTCCGTCATTAATGAATTAATTCAATAATTTCAATTGTAGTAAATGTAGTAATTTTACCATTAGTTGTTTAGTGCTCTCTAGTCTCAAGTTTCTCAGCATCTAAATTAATCTCATGATTTTAATTTACATAGGCTTTCTTCTAAAAGCACACATGTGAACATTAGGGGGAAAAAATTTAAATTGAAGTACCTTTGTCACATAAATATATAGAACGAAGATAGTATTATTTGACCTCTAGCTATTCCATTTTTTCAGTTTTATTTTATTGACGGGAGACTTTAAGAAAAACCCTTTCAGGGGAAGAGTTTATATCATTATATGACACACATGGATGATGAGTTTGTATAGCATGCATGGTGATGAGCCTGATTATTTCTTGTAATACTTGATTAATAAATTTTGCCTCTTTTATCACAATAATGTGTAGCTTTTCGTTACGTCTGTATTTTGCAAATGCAAAATGATTGATTGTTCTTCCAGTTTACAATAGTAATTAAGAGATTGATGAAAATTAAAAGAATAAGTAAAATACTAATATAAAAAAATCAGTGATTATTATTCATTTGTTTCAATTGTTGCTGGTGTACCACCATCGATCATAACTAATACATTCAATCTTTACAAATAATTCAATCTTTTTCTTTACAAAATGCAGTAAAGCTTGAAACAATACTAATTAAATTACATAGGGCAAAACATGTACAAAATTCGTATATTATTTGACCGCTAGTCACAAGTTCAAATCTCCTAAGCTAACTCCGTTCTATCTACAAGAAATTTTCTCTATAACGACTCTAAATTGATGTGGCTTACAAGGAATATGGATGACACCTTGTTGATGATATCCAAATTCATTAGCGGCTAATTGAAGCAAATCAACAATAGAAGGATGTTTCATCCAACCAAGAGGCACCATAAATCTCTCTTCTTCCTCCTCACACTTGCCTACCATAATAGGTATGTACCCTCTTTTTTGAGCTTCTTGCCTTTGATCATCATCATTATTCACTTCCTCACAACCTAGCCTCGAATATCGAGGAGGCGACATCGATGAAGATCCTTCCTTCTTCTTAATTATTCTTCCTAACAAATCCTTCATTGTATGTACGTAGTAGTAAAGTAGATGGTGTATCAGTTGTTGTCTTTGATCTTGAATAAAATTGAAGGAGGGAGATGAGAGAATGTATGTTTGAATAGTTATTGGGTTGTTTGTAAATATATGCTTCAATTTGTGTAGTGGACTAGTGGAGCTAGTGTGTATATATTATATATGCTCACAATAAAACACCTTTATATAGCCGTCTTAATATAATATCTCATTGGTTGCATTTTATATATGAACCCTCGTGGTTTATTAACTTTAATTGGAAATTTGGAAGTCCTAGTCAAAGATGATGATTTTTTTTTTTAAAAAAATGAACAAAATTTAAACCTTTAATAATGATTTAAAAAAATAAAAGTAATTTTAAATTAGTTTAAGAGACTCTTAATCCTTTATTACAATGCGGGTACGATAGTGGGACTGAACAAATTACAAAAGGTTTCTAGTTAAAATCGAAAAATAAATCAATGCAACTTTAATTATGTGTTACTCCGTATTATTCTGTATGAAAAACTTGGATCACTCACTAGGTGAAATAAGACCACCTTTAATAAAGGTTGGTGATCGAAAGTGGAATCTAACTCAGCACTACTAATATGTTTAATTTTATTGTACCAATAAGCTAAGTCTTCACTTACTGATTAAGATTGAGAGTATGTACGATAAGTCATAAGTTCAAATCCCCTACCCTATTTATAAAGTAATACTGTGATAAATTTGTATTGTTCTTGTGCTCATTTGAATAAAAATATTTTTCTATATGTCTATTTCCTAGATGACCTAACAATATTAGTCAAACCAAGAAAATGTTTTAACCATACTTTCCAAATGAGCTTGAAATCTAATATAGATTATACGTCCCTACCACTTAATTAAATATGGTGCACTAAACTAATCATCCTGCTAATTTATAATAATCATGATATTTCCGAGCAAGATTCGTATATGAATTAAGACTTTTTCATAATTAGTCAAAATTAACATGCATGCTTCGACTGCTAATCAATATATTGACGTAATCCTCCTTTTTCTTTTCATACTAGGAATTAACTTTACAAATATTTTTTAAGTTGTAACAATAAGGATTATCATCCCTTTAGATACTAAAATAATATTGTCAAGTAGAAACTGATTATCATGTGATATTTCTTTAGAAACCAACTCATTTGATTATTTATTTTTTATGCAACCAACTCACTTGATTATGGAAAGACGTTATAATTTGTTGGGTCCAAGTTTTGACTCGCTAACTAGAAACTTTTATGTCAATTAGCTTAATTAATTAGTTCCCATAAAAAAAAAAGAAAAAAAAAACACCTTAAATACTTTGTTGATTTTTTATGAGTTTTAATTGAAATTTCACAATGAAATTCCATTTTTGTATTGCTAATTTAATTTATTTTTATTGTTATATTGTTGGGAAAATATCAATTATTGCTAGTTGGAAGTACGTACTATAAATTGATCGTATAGACTGGCGTAGTGTCACGACAAGTTTTAGTTCGTTCTTCAAACACGACCAATTGATTCAATTCGATCGAGTTAATATTTCAATGCAACAATCAATTTATCGATCAATATTTTAATTGTATTTCTCCTTCTATTATCAACCCACATTTGACCGTAGGTGTTTTCCCACATTAAAGAATGTGGATGAAATAAGTCACTAAAGGCTCAAAGAGTTATCCATCCCTCTTAATTGCCTATTGGTTTTATGATGTGAAAATAAACTCGATCCTTTGAACTAGTATATATATACACTTCATGTAACCTAAATTATTCTCCCCCTCCGAATCCTTTTTGGGCAGTCCATTTTCAATATTTTCACAAACTTGAAGTTCAAAATCTTGGGCTAGTGTATAATTTAAATTGCTTTCGGCCAACGCATAGTCATGCTTTGAATTAGCTTGCCCTAATGGAGATAATCCACTAGCAAATAAAGAACCTAATCAATAATCATTCTCGTCAAAATAAGCTAATCATTCTTGATTAGTTAATTAATTTGCAATCGGAGGGACTTTTTTTTTTCCCATATATAGTTCAAATTCTTCAAAGAAGAAAAAGTAAAAATCAATGAATAATTATTTTAGCTTCAATATATAAAATAAAGATGAAAGAAAATCAAGAAAAAATTACTTGTAATGAATAATAAAAATGATCACCAATGCATTGCTCACTGTATCTTATAGTACTGATTAAATTCAATTCTAAAACTAATACCCTTTCTTATACATATATCAATACTTTATAACACAAATTACCTAAATCGATCAACAAATAAATGATTGCTTCAAAAAAATAAATTAAATCAACAGATAAATGATACTACATCTTCTAAAATTAATTTCAAAAGAAAAGAAAAAATTACAACTTTTACATTAAAGATTCCGTTAATTCTATTTGCAAGAAAGACTCTCCATAACAACTCTAAAATGTTGCGGTTCACAAGGAATTTGTAGAACACCTTGTTGATGATACCCGAACTCGTTGGCGGATACACGTAACAATTCAACAATACAAGGATGGTTCATCCAACCAAGAGGCACCATAAATCTTTCTTCTTCTTCCTCACTTTTCCCTACCATAATAGGTACATACCCTTTCTTTTTAGCTTGATTATGTCTTTGATGTTTGTTCTTCACTTCATCCTCGCAACATGATGATAATCTTGAGTATGGAGGCGGCGAACACGATGAAGATTGCTCCTTCTTCCTTACTATCTTTCCGATCAAACCCTTCATTATTATTATTATTGTTGTGGATTAACAATAATATTGAAATCAAGAGAGAAAGTAATTGTGTGTTTTATTTTAGGTTTGCTTCAATAATAATGCAAGTATATATATATATATATATATATATATATATATATATATATATATATATATATATATATATATATATATATATATATATATATATATATATATATATATATATATATATATATATATATAAAGTTTTACCGATAGAAAGTTTTATAAAGGAGTAAGAGAAGATGGAGAAATTGATTATGTATATTGCTCCGGTAACATGGCTATATAGCCAAGAGTTTTACATATAATGCCACACAAGTTCACAAGTCTTTGGACTTGTGTGAACATTGTGAAATCAAATCAAATAATTATAGGCATTCATATTTATCTTCTAACACTCCCCCTTGAATGCCCATACTTATTATACAGAAAGGTATTTGTTGCCTCATTAAAAACCTTGCTAGGTAAAACCCTTATGGGGTAAATACCATAGCTAGGGAAAAAGAGTACAACGATATAGTATTATATGCTTTGGTATACTGCCTCGTTAAAAACCTTGTCAGGAAAAACCCGGTGGGATAAAAACCTGATCGAAGGGAAAAAGAGTGCAGTACATATAATACTCCCCCTGATCTCAGCATAGTTCACGAAGATGTCGCATTCCGATTTTGTGAACTAACTGTTCAAATTTCTTCGAAGGAAGTGATTTGGTGAAAAGGTCGGCAAGATTTTCACAAGACTGAATTTGCTGAATATTTATTTCCTCGTCCTTTTGCAGATCATGTGTGAAGAACAGTTTTGGGGCAATATGTTTCGTTTTTTCTCCCTTAATATATCCTTCAGTTACTTGAGCGATACATGCTGTATTGTCTTCAAAGATGATGGTTGGGTCTTCTGTTATTGCGTTCATTCCACACTCCTTTTGGATATTACTGATCATCGACCTCAGCCACACACATTCCCGTCCTGCTTCATAGAGGGCTATCAACTCTGCATGATTTGATGATGTCGCGGTCAATGTCTGCTTTGTTGATTTCCATGATATTGCAGTGCCGCCATAAGTGAATACATATCCATTTTGTGACTTGGCATTTTGAGGATCTGATAAGTATCCAGCGTCTGCATACCCAATGAGAGCAGCATCTTGTTTTGGTTGGTAATATAAACCAAGGTCTTGTGTCCCTCGTAGGTACCGGAGTAAGTGTCGAACTCCCTTCCAATGCCTATATGTTGGTGCATTGCTGTGCCTGGTAACAAATTCACAGAGAAAGCTATGTCGGGTCTAGTATTGTTAGCTAAGTACATTAAGGCTCCAATTGCACTTAAGTATGGTACTTCTGGACCCAGAATCTCTTCATTTTCTTCTCGGGGTCTGAATGGATCATTTTTCATATTCAAAGAACGAACAACCATTGGGAAGTTGGTTGGGGTTGCTTTGTCCATGAAGAAACGTTTCAAAACTCTTTCTGTATAGTTTGATTGATGGACAAAAATGCCATGACTCAAGTGCTCAATTTGTAGTCCAAGGCAAAATTTAGTTTTCCCAAGGTCTTTCATCTCAAATTCTTTCATCAAGTATTTTGCAGTTTTCTCGAGTTCATTTGGGGTTCCGATGATATTTAAATCATCAACATAAACTGCAATGATAGCGAATCCTGATTGTGATCGCTTTATGAAAACACAGGGACTAACCTGGTTGTTTTTGAATCCTTCTCTCATAAGGTATTCACTCAGACGGTTGTACCACATCCTTCCAGATTGTTTCAATCCATAAAGTGACCTTTTTAGTTTTATGGAAAGCAGTTGTCTAGGCTTGTGGTTTTCTGGTAGTTTTAGTCCTTCGGGGACTTTCATGTAAATGTCCGTATCGAGTGACCCATACAAATACGCAGTCACTACATCCATTAATCGCATTTGCAGTCCTTTTGTGATTGTCAAACTTACCAGAAATCTTAATGTAGTTGCATCAACCACTGGAGAATATGTTTCTTCATAATCAATCCCTGGAATTTGAGAAAATCCTTGGGCTACAAGTCTTGCCTTGTATCTAACTATTTCATTTTTCTCATTACGTTTTCTTACAAATACCCATTTGTATCCAACGGGTTTTACACCTGCTGGTGTAAGGGTTATTTTTCCAAAAACTTCTCGTTTTTCAAGTGACTTTAACTCAGCCAGCATTGCCTCCTTCCACTTTGGCCAATCACTCCTACGTCGACATTCTTCTACAGTTCTTGGTTC